CTAGAGGGAAATACCGATGGATCGACCCGCATTGTGTCAGATGTGGCAGGGACACCATTCCCCGCACTGTGACGGGAAATTATCCCTCACCACTCCGATATCGACGACGAAATGGCCAGGGCGTTGGGCTTCACCGAAGGAATACACGGAAATCTTGTGAGGATGTTTCGATGACTTCTGGGAATGATGCGAAATCGAAACCCGAAGATCTGCTGAGTAATCGCCTTGAAACAGGGTCGCATGTAGCAAATGATCGTCAAGGATGATCGCCCGAAGGATTCATCATCGGATTTGCATTGTAGGGGATTCAATCCTCTCGAGTCTCGAGTGTCCGAGATTTACGTGGCAATCGGTTGTCTATGTAAATGAGAAATGGCCATCGAAGACAGAGACACAAGTCGGGAAACGGATGGAGCCGTGGCTCTCGAGAATGCTCCAGCCTTGATCGGCACTTCCGAATACGATCCGAAGAGCGGGTTGACGTTCCAGCCGTTCCAGCCGCAACGAACACAGCTTACAGACTTTCTGTGAGTCTGATGAGGAGCGACGTCAGCTTCCCGTCGCGCGCTCGGTAAAAGTTAGTACACGCGAACCTCACAGAATGAGCCCGAAAGTCTGGAGTATGCTGCACTGGTCATCGCACTGAAAGACATGTTCGCCGTTTCAAAGTCTCTGTTCTGTCGTGGGTTTGAAACGTTGCTTCAAGATCGCCAAACTCGCGGGGAAACCGCAGAACAGATCGCAAGTAACGCTATCTTGGGAGCGGATGGGTTGAGTTCTTTCTAATTGGACTCCCTTCGAATTTTCATCATACTTCCATCTGTTTCCGAACCCAGGCTACCAAGCTCGCTGCGAGAGCCAGCGAAGACTTCTCAAGCCACCGGTCGCCAGTCATTCAAGGAGCAAGCGTCTTGCGCTGTGCGTTTGCCGAAAACTTGGTCATTTTGCCGGCAATCGTCGTTTAACTCGGTCGAATGACAAGGTGCTCAGATCTCCGCAACTTTCTGAGGGTCAGACGTTCATCACGCTCGACTTTAACGGGTTACCCATCGGATTCCGCGCAAATTCTAACATCTCTACCATTGGGATTCAGACTTGGACGTCCCTTAGGTGCTTGGCGCTCACTGAGTTCGGAAGCCGATGCACTTCTGTCGATCGTGATGATATCATGCTCATGGGCTATTCCATGGCGAAATTCACTCACAACGGTAACACCATCCAAGATTCTCTACTCGTTCTCATGGGGAGCGAATTGAGCCTGTTCTGCGGTCGCTTGCCGATACAGCTCGGCTTGGAGGTCTGGAAAGTCGAGAATTCACAACCAGACGTGGGTCTCGTCGACTCGACTTCTCAACAGACAAGATTTCCGAAACTCTTCGAGTCGGGGCTCGGGCTCTCTAATCGTTCAACTTCGTTCACGAGAAAACGTCTTTCCGGTTCATCTGAGACCTCGTACGATCGCCTTAGCGCTACGAGAACAAATGGATGAAGAGTTGGTCAGGCTCTCACGAAATGGAACGCTGACTGAAGTGGATTTCTCAGACCGGACAACTCCGATTCTGGTCGTAAAGAAACCTGATGGCTCCTCACGGGTAGGCATTGCAAATAACCGCAATTCAGAAAAACCGCGGTTTCGATTAACCGGAGCCGAAAAACCGCTAACCGCGATTATAATCGCAAATAACCGCGATCGCTCCAACGAGTGATCTGAGGCGAAATCAGCATGTGAACATGGATCTATCTCTTCTGTAGCTTATTTGAAGCTTTCGGAGGGGAAAGGGAGATGACGAGCTCACTCAGAGAATGGAATCCCCCGCTTGTGTGTTTAATGAATCAAGACTTGGAAGGATCATGGAGTCCAACGAATTCCAGAGAAGATGTACTCTCTAAGACAATGATCAAGCCGGGAGCGTTTGATGGCTCTCGCAGCACGAGCAAAGAGTATCGTTGATGTTTAGATTTCGAACGCTTGAGCAACGAAAACGTCGATGCACGCTCCGCCGCTGTCAGGTCTACATCCAACCTGCCTCCGGACGTGAAATCTCAATGTTACGTGCTGTGCGCCGAGATCGAAGATGATATTCCTCGAGCTATTCTAGGAGCTGAGCCAATCGTCGGAAAACTCTTCCGGAAATCATATTATATTCGTTCTCCTATCCGGTAATAGGCTTCGGAATAATTTTCGAGCCATTTTGCGAGAGCTATGACTGATCCTCAGGCTTTTTGGCGTCCGGATTGGCAGGCCTCGATTTGCGGTTATTCGTCGAAATACACATGCGATTGATCACGATTGAAAACCGCGATTTCGAGCGGTTAATCGCGATTTTTAACCGCGGTTAGAAACCGCTGCAATGCCTACTCACGGGTTTGCGCAGATTATTTTACCGGACTCGATGAAGCTCTCGTGGATATCGACCATCCGCTCCCTGATACGGAGGGAGTCATGACCAAGTTCTCCGGAAACAATGTTTTCCCAAAGTTGGATGTGGCCGAAGCCTACTCGAAATCGTTACTACACTGGGTGGCTACTGAATCGAGAAGAGACCGTAATTGGCTTGACGGGTCCAGTCGACAGGAGCCTGAGCAGCCAAGAACTTGGACGATTCCAGATACAGCTTCCCGAACATTGACTCCCTTGGGCGGCAAGGTTTTAGGATTTTTCCCCGACCGCGAAATTTCCGAAACCATCCCGCCCTAGACCGTGATTATGACTCGAGAAGTTACAGAACGCTCCGTCTAAACTCACCTGCATTGTTGTTGATCAATTGATCACTCTCTATTTTTATCACGTGCATGTTTCGGACTTGGACTATCGTCCTCTCTCTCGGCGCGATCGCGCGCTCTGTACTCTCATCGCAGCTATTCTCATTACGAGAAATTTAAAACTCATTCTGCTGTCTGGTATTTAGGTCTTGCACGTCTCCTCATGGAAACGTGCTCGGGGTACAAGAAATCTGCGGCTCCTCTCGTCTAAGGAGGAAACGAAGAGAAACACCAGAGACATAACGATACAGTTCCAGCTCGGGTTCATTTGTATTCGATAAAAGGGGAGCGGATCTCTGCAAGGTTTTCGGGGGCAGATCTCGAAAGGTACTCTCGAACACTTTCAGCGTACAGTACTACTCCTTCCTTTTGTCTCTACTGGGGGGTCGCCATCTCCTCGTTCCTATGTGCTGTATGTACTGGAACGAATGGAAGATTCTGATCAGCTCCTTCCGGCCTGAAAATGCCAGAAGCCTCTCAGGGAATTCGCGCGATCGCGCTAAATATCCAGCCCTATTCATTGTGGCTCCCGAGATAACTCGATAGTGCCCGTCGATCAGATGCGATCCAGTTTGAGAAATGATTTCGATGAGAACCACCAGATTCGCCGATTGGTTGCGAGCAAGTCCAATCTTCAAGGCTAAGGAGGGTCTCCTGCGCATTGACGACCAGTTTGCAGCAGCCTTCGAGAGCATCCTGAAAATTTCCTTATCAGGGGATGCTCTCACTCAGCTAAGTCTCCCCGCCCTCTCAGGCGGTATGGGCATCCCGACTCCATCGGACATCTCACTGGCTGCCTTTCCTGCCTCCTGTTGCGCGGCCACGTTCGACGTTCGTGACGTTCCCAATGACCCGTCAAGACACCTCATGGACCTCGTGACGAAGGAATTCTCTACTCGATTCGGTTCGTCACCCTCCGAAGACGATCGCCACCAGCAACACAAGTGGACGAGGATCGCGAATGACTCCGTTCTTTCGGAACTCTGCTCGCGATTGTCGGGATCGGGAGTTGATGCAATTCGACTTTCCCACGCGTCTCTTCCTGAGTCGGGATGGTGGCTTCAGGCTCTGCCATCAAGGAACATAGGGACCCTACTGTCAGACAGAGATCTTCGCCGCCGGTCTCAGACTCGGCCTGCCCCTGATCGACGAAGATCCTTGCCCGTGCGGCGCGACGCGAGATCGTCGAGGTCTCCATCGTCTCAGCTGTAACTCTCTGGGATCCGGCAGACTAGCTCGCCATCGAGCAGTAAATGACCTGCTGTCCCGAGCGCTACAGCAGGCTGGTGTCACAAACTCCAAAGAACCCCGAAATCTGTCCCCGAATAACCAGTTGCGCCCGGACGGTCGACAGCTGATTTGGGACGTGACGATTAGAGACGCCTACGCCGCTTCTTATCGGCGGATTTCCCGAAACGCTAGGGCTGTGGTAGCAAGAGGAGAGGCCGACAAGAAAACCAAGTATGGGACGTTGCTTGGCGAGTACAGTCTTGCTCCGTTCGTGATCGATACTGCGGGAGTCTGGGGTGAAGATGCTTTGAAACTGTTGAGGGATATCGGCAATTGTATAGTCGCCAGGGGAGACAGACGTGCGATGTCGTTCATTCGTCAGCGCATTGCGACAGAGGCTCAACGCGGCAACGCGAGGATGATCTCGCGCGGACTGCCCCAAATTGTTGCCCTCAGAGAGCTCACCCTCCTGAGTGGCTGATTAATATTTGTTAGAACATTCCCTGTTTTCTTCTTGAATTCCCTACAATAAAAAGAAATCCATCCACCCATCCATCCATCCACGGCGGTCCACGGCCCTACGATTCAACCCGCCAAAAGCGAACTCTTCGTTCAGGGCACTTCTGCGGTCGAGCTGTATTGCGCGCACCGTCTCTCCTCCGAGTGCCTACCTGGCAGCCGTCTGCTCCCTGACGAGAGCCATGTTGAGCTGCTGGGCGCCCCCCTGTTCGAATCCGGTCTGCCAAAGGCGCTCATGAGCAAGTCTGACGCATATGACGTCATATTCCGCAGACTATCCTCCGTGGGCAGTCATGTGGCGACTCACATCTTGCAGCGATCGGCCGGAGTGCCGAAGCTAAACTACCTGCTGCGAGCTAGTCCGGCCTTCGTGGCCAAGGAGGATCTCCGGCGAGTGGACGAACAGCTTGCAATTTGAGAGCGTCCTGGAAACTTCCTTATCGAGGGATGCTCTCATTCAGCTCAGCCTCTCGGCACTCTCGGGTGGAATGGGCATTCCAACGCCATCAGACAAACTCGACCGAAAACTCATGTCCGACTTCGCTGTGAGCGTAGTGCCAGTCGATCAGAGGATACGATGTCTCGCAGCCCTCGAGCTTCTGCTGATTATGATGCAACACCCCAAGATGACCCACGAGTTTGAAGTTCTGACAAAATACGCGGACAAACATCTATTCACCAAAGAAGAAGGAAACGAAGCTAGTCCCCTTCTTGCTATATTCATGGGCTACATCGCGGCGCTACACATCCGAGAGTTCGTGAAAGCTCAACGAAGGGATGACGAGGTACTCGTGGAGTTTCAAGAGGCCAATTTCGAAGATCAGCGCTCGAAAATAAGACAGTATCTCAAGGCCGCGCTCAGTGTTCCTAACGTGGCTGGCGACGCTTTCCTAGAAGTTGCGCGATATTATTCAACACTCGACGAAGAGCTCAATTTCGATCAGCTCCTGAAGTCCTACATTAATCGGAACCTGCATTTGACAACTCGGCATTTGACAGGATTCTTGTTCCATCACGAGGTATTAAGGATGTCCAGGAATGATGGACTAATCCAATCGGATTCTCTCTTTCTAACAAATTCATTATGCTGATCGCGTGGGTCATCAACCATAGACCGGAGACAGTTCCACCAGAGCCCTGATCTCGGCGTCGCTTTTCCAGGTGCTTCGTCGACGAGTGGACGCTGATGGCAAGGTCCGGCAATTAGCTACGATGCGGAAGATCATTCAAATTTCACCGGGGGACGAGGTGGTCCTTGAGTACGCGGAGAATATTCTTTCCTTGGGGGAAGTCGCGGATATCAAGGACGTCGCCATGCGTCTTGCTCAGTATCTCGATCACTGGGATCGCAGACGGTGCCTGAAGGGATGGACTCTGATATTTTCTGCCCTAATTTATGCGAGGAGAGCGTCCTAATACGTTCCCGGGATATTCCCGGAATGAGCGCAGAATCGCTCTCTGGCGCGAGTCCATCCAAATGCTCCAAACTCAAACTCTGTGGATTGTACACTTGTTGGCATCGGAGATTCTAATCATTTCTCTGTTCCGCAGGAATACCGGAGAACGGTCGACGTGATGACGCAGAGAAGCTATTGGTGGAACTATCATTTTGTCCGCGCAGAAATTCATGACGTTGATGATGATGATTTCCGCAGATATGGAGGTCCTATATGGGGATTAGTTTGGGAATTTCTAGCTTATCGATATCACTTGTGCATTTCTGTGAATAAAAGCATATTTTCCGGGCAGCAGCAGCACGCTTCATGCTTCGAGCTTCTCGCTGAGCGGGAAGATCAACAACTCCTACCAAACTGGATCGAGTAGCTACTAGTGCGATTCCCGGAGGAGAGTAGAAGATCCCCTGCTGGATACTTCGCTCGCCAGCGGCTCCCCGACGAGCCTTTCACGTCTTTCATCAGAAAGGAGCAGTCTCTTTTGATGGAATTAGGTATGCCATTGGAATTTGCGGACTTCGTCGACGAGATCAGAGAATCTTGAAATTCATGTACTTCCGCGAATCAATTCGGCGATTCGCTGTGGAGGTATTCCATCCAGGGATTATTAGGTTGTAGGGGTCGATGAGCCGTTTCTATCCTGATGAGTACGACTTAGAATGCCGGCAAGGCACCACCTGACTTAGAAGCGCGCTGAGACTCGGTCTTCGCCGACATTATCACTGGAGCAATTGGTAACGTTGTCGGGCAGCGACGAGGCCACAAGCGACGTTCCGGCTCAATAATCATCTTTGTGTACACGCAATCATTAGCAATCTACTCTTCCAGACGACCGGGAGAACAGACAGGGCACTCGATCACGCCCCTCCATGAGCTTTCGACGTCGAACGACTTCCAGAGCGTCTACACCTGCGGATTCTCGCGGTTTGACTGTTTGTCAAGCATGTCAAACAAGAAATAATGGATCCCGAACAACACCAGCAGGTGGCTCCTCAAACACCTGCTATGGTACTCTCCTTGACTCCGGGGAAACTGCGATTCGCGCTGCGCTCAGTATCTCGAACAAGACCCGCCAACAGAAGAACGCAGGGCTCCGCGAGTTCTCAGAAGTGTCTCGAGTTGCAGATGCTGGCCGCGCAGAAGAGCTCGAGCGTAGAATGAGTCTGAGTCAGGATGAGATTTGATTTAAAACAACTAGCCACGGTCACAAAAGTAAGGTGTTGCAGCTGTTCACTACGCTTGCGTGAGAGGGATGTCGAAGATTTCGGCGAACGAGGGCTGCAGATGCGAGAGTCTCTCCCAACGAGTTCTGAACCATTGGAGATGGTCCGCGTGCCGGTTGCCTAGTTGTCGGAGTTCGGGCAGCTTCGCGATGATTTGACTGAAGAGTTGTTGGTCAGATGGATGATTCCGGATAACTTGGAGTTTTAGAGCTTCGACAAGTCGGGCCTGACATTGCTCCACGGTCCGGGCGTCGAATAGTGTCGTTCGCTCCGAGAATGCTGGGAAGCGAAGGAGCGGTTTATTATTATCATGGCTAAAACCTGTGCCTGATCGAGGGGCTAACCGAAGAATTCGAGTCTTCCGATCGGGCGAAAGAAACAGGGCACTGTACTGACCATTACTCAGAAGAGCTACTGCACAGAAGAGACCGATCTCCGTGTCGTTGAGACTGAGGCCGTTGAACGAAGAGAAGAAGTTGAACATACTACTCGTGAAGTCGATCTGCAAATCGAAAATTCACACGATGTCAGAGGAAGCAAACGATTCACTTGGAATACAGTTTTTCAGAAAAAAATCGGAGAAGTCCTGCAAACGATTGAGCTATCCCATCTCTCGGAATATCTCCTTGGATTCAACGTCCCTCCTCGTACGTACTACGTACATCAAAGACGAACTCAAGCTGCTCCCGTGTGACGTACGCTCCTCCAGCGAAGGTGACCGCGCCTCTCGATACATATTCTTCGGCGAGGATGCTCCTGGAGACGTGGATCAACCAAACTTCGAAAAAGCCTAATTTGATGAGAATCAACTGATCGTCCTGAGCGAATTCAAGGAAGCCCGGGACTCGTTTCGCGAATTCTACACTATCCTGAATGTTCGGAGTGCCGAGACCAGCGAAGCGTTGCCACATGGTAAATCGTTCCATCTCCATACTATCGGCGGTCGATCCGCTGTCGAGCTTGATCTCGTTCGCAGTCTGATAATGGAGAATGACCGTTACTGAATTTCGTCTATACTCCCTCCGGCCGAGGTCCTTCTGCTAAGTAAGACCTCATCTGCCATGAGAACATCACGTGAAGGAACTCGATCACTCTCCTTCAAGTTCTTCTGCATATGGAGACCATATTCCTCTCCAGCTTCCTCTCTTGGCTCACTCTCTTTGACGTCCTTTGATCAAGGGCTCTCAGACGTGACAGACATCAGGTTCGTTCCGATTCCCAACCCCTGGCTCCCAGGTGAATTTGCTAGAACGGGATCTGGCGAGCCTATCTCTTTTCGAAAAATTCTGCCGCTGAGTGCGCGGAGTTACAGGGTCAATCCCTGAGATTCTGCGCGATTTTTCCGGCACTCAGATAACGCCTGGAATTCAATGCATCCTGTCAGTCATTCGAATAATGGAGAATCGATATGACTCTCGACCGCAATAGTATTCATTCATGCTTTGCGCAAGCAGGAGCGACCCATCCCACGCATTCTCCATTGCGAATCTTCGGCGATGAACCGGAACCGCGAGAGCAGAAGCCCTCAACGCACCGACGCTACGGTGCAGAGCTCGACCTGAGGCCGGCTGGCTTACGTATGTAGTACCCCGCAAGCCTCTCTCTCGATTATATCACGTGATCGATCGCGAAAAAAGTTGAAATGGCCGAAGCGCTTATACAACACTGGTCGATCCTGGAAAATTGGATACAATAGAGCCTAACATAATCGAGATTCCACTGTAATATCAATATCATCTATGGAGGTAGACCATTGATTATATCGGTCTGAAACTCCCCAGACCTGTTCGCAGTCCATGGGAACTGATAGGACAAGACTGCAATCCGTCAGACGCAGCTTCGCGTCCGGATACTCGAATAACCAGCAGCATTTTTAGCATCGTCTCCAACTCTCGAATGTTCCTGTGTGTTGAAAGGAATGACGCTGATGATGGAAGATCTCCAGTCTTGATCATAATCATAATCCGACCTAGCATCAGTCCCGGAGCAATACTTCACCATCTCGAATCAGAGAGATCTCCGACCCACGCAGAGCCCCAGCATTCATCCCACGCGTCAACCTTGCTCATTCTGTACATTCCGACCCACGCATTGAAGGATCGCCAGAACCCCCAGATAGAATCAATAGTTAGAGAAACGGGGTTACGCTCGTTAGCTAGGTAGAAATTCCTTTCTCAATCGATACATAAATACCTTCAGCCAAAGGTTAAAGTACTGCACATGCCGAAACCCTCATTCTTACTTCTCGTGCAGCTCGAACCTCTGCGCTTCATCAGAACCAGCTCTGGGCTAGAGCGCAAAGTCCAGCATCACGAGCTGAAACGGTTCCGAAGACCTGAAACCCGAGCCTGGCTTCCTGTGTACAGTGATTGCGCACGTCGTCTGATTTGTTTCCGTCGCAGACGACGTGGGCATATCCTCCAAGTCTGTTTGTGCTGAATTCCTCGTGATATATGGTGCGTGATCTTCCTTGTTAAAAGAAAAGTCTCATCTGAGACTGCCGCCTCTCTTCCCTCGGGAATCGATCTACGAATACACCTTGTGACTTGCTTCGGCTGGAAACGAATATTTCACCATGGATTTCATCGCTTTAGTCGATGGTATCCCCTCCCGTGCCCAGATTCGGCCTGATACTCAGGAACCGCTCGTGACCATCACACCCATCTCTCATCCCTCGGCAACAGAGCGTCTCATCTGCCATGCTTGTCCCGACAGACATTTTGATCGGAAGGTCGATCTCGCCCAGCACATGCTCGGTCATTGTGCTGAAAGAAGGCACGAATGCGATCGATGCGACAAGAAATTCGCAACCAAAGCACAGCTGAGATCCCATGTGAAGAGTCATCTCCCTTCGGAATCGCATCGCTGTCCGAAGTGCGCCAAGTCTTTTAAGACGGTCACCAGTCTCAACCAGCACCGCCGTGTTCATTGCAACGCCAAGCCATATCCGTGTCACCTGTGCGATATGAAGTTCGCCGATGCAGAAGAGCGACATCAACACTACAATGCACACAGGTCTGGAAAGACAGCTCTCAGGTGTGCACTCTGTAGAACGGAATTCCCTTCCCAGCCAGAACTCGTACGTCACCTCGAGAGTCATTTCATCGACATTGCAACGCAGGGAGGTCTCACAGCTTGAGCTCGCTCCACCGTAACGGAGCGCGAGAGCGCTGAGCAAGAAACGTCGCAAGCTCATGACTCATGATTATCACAGTAGTGCAGAGTCAGGACTGATTTTTTCGAGGACTCCGCACTGGGACCGGTGGGATCCCATCCGGGAGTCGACTTTGAAAAATTGTAATAATACTTGAGAAATACTTCCCTCAATAAAATCCTCTTCCTTACCAGATCATTTGCAGTATATATATGGTTTATTCGCGCAGTTCCCGCAGCATGTGCAATGACCCGGGAAATCGCGACGGGATTCAGCTCATCGTGTCTCATTCTATGATCCTGACCTGTTCTAGCAAGGTCCTGTATGAGAGGGATCCTGCTCGTCCACAGCTATTACTATCTTCCTCTTCTCTATATTCGATTAAGCCCGTGTTTATGTTTGCGATGACGGTTCGTTCGTAGCGTATTCGCGACCCGACTATTCATCGGCTAGAATTCTGGCTTTTGCGAATCTGGCCTCTGCAATTCTGAATTCCGGCTCGTGAGAGAAGGTAAAAGAAGACCAACCGTAATCCACACGGGGTACGCCAGCGGTGCATGTGCTCAGGAGGCGTTGCAAGGGGTCGATGCGGCCGTTCAGTTCTCCTCTGACCGAGCTTGCCTGAATCTGCTCCGAATACGTAATGTCACCAGCCACCATCCTTTCTTGGTCTCTGTTCGAAGTCAGCTTGAAAGCGATCTCAGACCGTAAAGCTCCCTTCTGATCTTTGACTTCACTTCCCGCTGTGATCTGTGGGTGCTGAATGACCTTGTTGATTCCTTGCGCCCCGATCCTAATGCCTGTCTGGCCTCGAGACCGAAGCGAGGTGCGGGGGTCCTCGACCGAAAGCATATGGGCTGCACCGGCGGCCATTTCGGACTCACGACACACGCCCCGACGACCTTGTCGTAGCGGACTTGTGATTGGAGTCTCCTTAAAGATCGCCCATGATCTTTCCAATACGGAATGGAGCGCTCGCGCGGAGTCCCCCTACCCCTATGGCGAAGGTAGCTCCGACCTGAATGACGAAGCGTTCAGAGAACGCCTGACTCGATTAGGTCGAATGATTCACAAAGCTCATATCGTTGGATTGTCCTATAGATGGGATTGTGACCGCCTCGAGAATCTCTCGCCTCATTGAGACAATTAAAACCATGTTGCCATACACCGGATGCTGATAGTTTCGAGTCCTCATGATGTCGATTGGAATATTGACGGAAAGAAGGAGCACCTCTCTCTTGGCCTTCCAAGCTATATCCGTCACCGCGGAGGCCTCTGTCTCAGGATGACTGGCTCTTGGATCACATACGCCGCGCGTTTTGCAGAATCATTCCTTCGAACGATGAACCGGAATTAGAGATCATCGTGGAAGAAGCCCAGGATGTGACTGCTGATTGCTTATCATGATTATAATGAGAGGATGAATGTTCCTAAGCCGGGTGATTGATTTCTCCGAATTCGGACCGCGGATTCCACGTCGCAGAAAAAACTAGGATCTAGGCGTTTGGAGGAGCATTTCCCTCGCCGGGATTGGGAACAACAAACAAAGAGCTGAATCGGCATTCATGAAAACGTGAGTAGCTCGCCCTGGCTCACGTCGAACATGCGCGGAATGCTGTGTCGCATCCTAGAGGGGAGCCATCTGGAAGGTGATTCTCGGCTCCAGCCAGTAGCGCATCTTTCTTGAAGCAGCATGAGGCTTTATCCTCCCCCCAGGACCTTCGTTCGTGATGCTCAGTGAGATGTCCGGAGGAGCGAGTCGCCATTCTGGATCCTCAGTCCCATAGAAAACATATCCGGCGCCCCCTCCCCTTCTTGCCGCAGTCGGGAGAAATCCTGGGCTCGCCCCTGTACCTAGCTACTGCTCAAGTGTTATGGAACGAATATTGATTTGCCCATTGGGAATGTCGGAGATATTCGGACGCACTCGCGGCAGCGTCATCTCTCTGCCACGGCAACGATCTGCGACGGTTCATTCTCGAGTCCGACGACTGCAGAGAGCGCCGACGATCGGCAAACTTCGATCTTCGAGCGTTTTGGATCAGCTGAATTCTGGCTCGGTTCTATTCCGCGCATACTTCCGTATTCTCACAAAGATCACACCGGAAATTCGCAGGAAGAGAGGGTTTTCCACTGATTAAACTTCTTCAATCCCGATAATCCCTCAATCGCGAGCTCTAGACAATCACCGCGTCAGATAATAGGAGAATTATGACGCGTGATCCAGAAACGCCTTGTTTTCGTTTACGATCAGCAGTATGACGCGGGAATGCATCCGAATCCAGCAAGTGCGGACACGATTAGCCGATTTTCGCGGTGTTTTCAAGGAGAGGACACGCGGAGGAGGTATTGGGGGCTAGCTCAATTTCAAATATCTAAAGACACCAACCGGGTGTCGATCGGTGTAGAAGGCACGGAGCCGCAGGGCGTAGAAAATGGACAAGTTTCGTCAGTTTTTTGGTGAAATACTAGGCCAACCTTTTTAAAGACGTTTCACGTCGATAGGCTCCGTTGTGACGTCTTCCTACGATTGGCTAAAGGTCAGGCCCTGCCCCCTAATACCTAGGACACGTTGAGACAAAATCTGCATCAGGGGGATGAGAAAGATTTAAAAGAAGGCCAGGCCACAGACTACAACACTACTTTTTGGAGAAAATATCAAAGGGATACTTGATCTCCCCCTGGCATCCTCTCACTGGTGAAACGTTGACTGAATTTCGGTGAATGTGACTCGAGGCTGGACACGATCATGAAGGTCTCGCTTTCATCAGGCAAAGACACTGTGACGATTGAGAAGGACTCCCCAGCTGCTCGACCCGTAAGTTATCCACAAACAGTCAAGGCCGCTCTCAAGCGGAACACTCCCGTAGATTTTGAACGAGCGCCCTAGAATTTCGAGAGTCTCGCGGGGACATTTCCCTCTCATCAGAGTTGGATGGAGATTCCGTCCTAGAGGTGAAGCACATGAGTCCATACCGGACCGCTGGAGATCGCTCAATCCGACTCGACGACCCTGGAATCTTTGTTCTTCCTTCGGGTATTTTTCTCGGAAAGGGTTCTTCGACGTTGGGGGCCGGAATGAATGACTCCGGGCGCTATCATCATCGAGGCGATTCGAAGGAGTTTTCGTCAGATATTATGTGTCGCCTGCGTCGATTCGGACCCGAACATCGATAACCAACACAGTATTGGAGCTCCTCAAGGAACGAACTCCGTGTCCCAATTCCCGTTTGTATCAGAGTACCCTTTCGGATCCTATCAGGGGAATCGAAAAACTCCATATTATGCCTCGGAACTTGCGGCAGCTCTCGCATGGATGCGGACGGTTCCCCTCCCCCCTAGGATCGAATCTGAATTGGGGAGCTCATGTGGATTCTCGTGGGCGACCTATCCGTTGTGCGTCGATTGGCGTTCGGCCAGGCACCGATACTTCGGAGTGCGCTGAAAATTGCAGGTTTGATTATGAGCTTTCGCCGGCCGGATGCCTTCGAATTCCGTTCGATCCTCTTGACTCAAAAGATTCGAAGTCGGAGGAGAATCTGAAAATTCGGCGGAGCTGTAATATTGCATCGATATACAAGGGAAATGCGGGGGACGAAGCGTGTCCAGAGCCGGGTTCGTTGAGCGCTGGATTTTCCCACATGAAAATTCATCGCATACGGCTGATCCTTCCAGGTATGTCCCAAGAAATCGGCATGTTTCATTTCGAAACTCTTCTTCCACTGGGTGAATCCTTTCATTTGGAATGGCTACAAACGCGAAGTGACGTCTGGCGATCTCTGGGCTCTGGACGAGGATAATAGCGTGGAGTACCAATCTAACTTGTTTCGAAACCACATACGGAAAGAATTCCCCTTGAACGATCCATCGTGAGTCCGAGTCCATAATAATCGATATCAACCCAATCCCTTGGCTCGATTCTGAGAGGTCATATGCCTTACTTTGTCCTCGATCATCCCAGAACCCGCAGCGATGGCGTGCGAGGCTCAACACTGAGGGCTCTGCTCAAGACTTTCTGGGCATCGTTCCTCATCGCTGGACTCTGCAAAATTATTTCGGACGCTTCCACTTATTCCGGTAAGGCCGATCGCCATCTGCAACGATCAATCCACAGCATATTCGATGATCCGTACAACTTTCGCGAGTGAGCTCTACGATTTCCCGCCAGGTCCACTGATGATCAAAGCTCTCATGAGATATTTGAAAACCGATCAACCATTATGGATCGGAGTCGGCTTCGCCATCGTCATGCTTTTCTGCTCGATTATCCAGACTATCGTAAGCAATGCATATCAGCAGCGAGTCTTCGAGCTGGGTGAGCGTTCGGACTTCGAGTAGTATACGGACCTGTGCCCGAGTGGGTGATTGAATTGAACGCAGGGGTCTGAGCTCTGATCTGACGCAGGAATGCACGTGCGGAGCGTCGTGACTGCTGCCGTTTATGAAAAATCACTGCGGCTCTCGCCGGGAGCTCGTCGGGACAAGACTGTTGGAGAAATCGTGAATTTGATGTCGAACGATGCGCAAACCCTGCGGGACACTGTGCGCACCTGCCACAACGTTTGGTCAACACCCGTGCAAATATTCGCCGCGACTGCGCTCATCTACCTCGACATGGGCGTCTCAGTGGGAGCCGGTCTATTGCTCATGATTGTTCTGCTGCCTGTCAGCGGATGCCTGGCTTCCTTACAAAAGGCTGTTCTGGTTAGCAATCAAGAGTTCTGACGCACTGACGACTAACCGCCTCGCCGATTTTTCGATGCCTCGCGTATGAATCGTTGTCGTTCTTTTTACCCCTCAGGCTGAGCAGATGAAAGATAAGGACGGCAGGATCAAGGTCATGAATGAAATTCTGAACGGCATTAGGGTGCTGAAATTATACGCCTGGGAATACGGCTTCAAAAGAGTGGTGGACGCCATTCGTTCGCGAGAGCTGTCGAAGCTCAAGAAAATCGCTTTCTTGCGAGCCATCTTGACGATGCTCTGGTACTTCGCGCCCTTTGCGGTACGTTTTCTACGCTTCAGCCCCACCGGAATCCGCGGAGGAGATAAACTTCGTCCGAACCGACTCAGCCCATGATTTTGTTCGAAATTCTCGCAGGTGAGCTTCGTGACATTCGCGGCCTTCATTCTCCTGAACCGAGATCGGAGATTGGAGCCCGACATAGCCTTCACCGCCCTGGCGCTCTACCAGCAGTTGCGCATACCGTTGACGACGTTGCCCAATTTGATCAGTAACCTTATTCAAGCGAGCGTTTCCTTGAGAAGATTCGACGAGTTCCTCTCGGCTGATGAGCTCAAACTCTGCGTGGAGGAACGTGAGTGACCACATGCGCTGAATTAGAAGGATATGCGTACCCGATCTTCCGCGCAAGACATCGATAGTTCCGCGTAGGTGGCGAATAAGCCGATGTCTTCCACTATCGCATCTTGACGGGATCGCCGTGTTGTGTCTACCGCGGACGCGAACACCCCCGGTGTTTTCCGGGAAGAGTCATAGGAATCAGGGGAGGAAAAGTCAGCAAGAATGATGATGAGTCCTTTTGATGTATTCCAATGCTGCTTCAGCCCCATGCTTCGGGACGAAGAAGTCTTGAGGAGGGCCGGAACTGTCAACAGCTCTTATCTGTCACTTGAATGTTTCAGCGAGTGGAACGGACCTTGCTATCTCGATAAGGGGCGCAACTTTCTCTTGGGAAGGGAAAAATGAAGTGTTGAAGGACATAACTTTGGAGGTTTCCGACGGTGAGCTCCTCGCGATCGTCGGTCGAGTAGGAGCAGGGAAGAGCTCGCTCATTTCCGCGATACTTGGAGAAATGAACCTGGTAAGTTCGTGGCCGCCGTCGATAACAATCAACCAATGAGGCGCACGACGATTTCCGGGAAAAGATGCGGAAGCTTGATATTCTGAGAGGGATTCTCGAAATCTCTCCGATTCCAGCTGTCGGGAAGAGTGGGCGCTCGCGGCAAAGTTGCTTATGTCTCCCAGCAAGCCTGGCTGCGTAACGACACGCTCAGAGAGAACATACTCTTTGGGCAACCCTACGACAAACGGCGGTATTGGGAAATTTTGCGTCGCTGCGCGCTACTTGAGGACATCAAAATGCTTCCAGCCGGTGATCAGACGGAAATCGGTGAAAAAGTCAGCTGAGTTCGCTTTTTCGGGTATTCGCGGTGGAGTGAATGGAATTCTGAAGTAGCGACACTCTTTTGGGCCTAGAATCAAGAGCAAGAATTTCAGGGCATCAATCTCTCCGGTGGCCAGAAGCAGCGAATCAGCATCGCTCGTGCAGTGTACGCTGAAGCGGATATCTATCTCTTCGACGATCCTCTATCTGCCGTGGACTCTCATGTTGGGCTCAAGATATTCTCGATGGTCAGTTTGGGTCATCAAGATTTCTTTCTCAATTTCTGTCGCTTACTCCATTTCGGAAAGTTCAGAGTCTGGAAGCGACTCTCAAGGGCTCTCATTGGGCTAATGGGTGATTTTAGATCATTGGTGAACCCTGTCAATCGGTGTTCCCAGATCATTAGTAAGCTCCGCTAGTCGGTGATTCCAGATCATCGGTAAGGAGGGGATTCTCAGGGGGAAAACCAGACTTCTCGTCACACACGGTGTACAGTATCTGACGGATGTCGAACGCGTGGTCGTTATGAAGGGAGGTCGTATATCCCAGAGCGGGAAGTTTGCGGAGCTCATGCGTTCGAAAGGTGAGGCTTTATTTCTCTTCCCTCATTCCCCCTCCTCTGAAATCAACATCATTCGTTATTGATTCCGAACTGGTGATTGAGAGCTAATTTCCGGTTGGTGATCTGATCATTCCCACAGACGACTTCCGGAGCCTGATTCGTCAAATCAGTCAGCCCGCACACGATACAGGTAAAGACACAGAAGGGCTGAACCGGCAACAGTCCATGCTCAGGGGGATGTCAGTGATCTCGGGCATGGACTTGGAAAACGGAAGAGTCGTCACGGAAGAACACACAGGAACCGGTGGGTGTCAGTGCAGTCCGAAAATTCCGCATCCGCTCATAGAGCCAGATTGCCCCAGCCCACTGAAGCTCCGGATTTCCAGGCAAAGTCAAACGCAGAGTTTACGGAAAGTTCTTGCGGGAAATCGGATTTTTCCCGGCAGCGATCGTCATGTTGACCATGCTCGGCGCAACAGCGTCCCAGGTCGGATCCAGCTTCTGGCTGACCGAGTGGTCGAAGGACAAGTCCACAGGTAAAACAGTTCGATCGTGTCAGAAAGCACCTTGTAGCAAGATTGAATCGGGAAACGTTCGTCCGAGCTTCTTCCATTTTGCCACAGAGAACGGGACCTACAATCTGATGATCTTCGGCTTTCTGGGAGTCGGTCAAGCTATTGGCCTGTTTCTTGGAGTACTCTCTATTTCTCTTTCGACATTGTCTGCTTCGAGGATGCTACATGACAATCTTCTCATGTCGATTCTCCGAGCTCCGATGTCGTTCTTCGATTCAACACCGATTGGTCGCATCGTCAATAGGTAACGCCGAGCCCTCGGAGGCGTTGTCCGCGGAATTCCATGTTCTCGATGTGACTGTCTGCGATGATTGGTCTGAGAGAACGAAATTCCACAGGTTCTCGCGCGACGTCGAGGTCTTGGATTCAAATCTTCCGCAAGACATAAGAGTTTTGGTCCAACAGCTGCTCAGTCTCTTATCGATCCTATTCGTCATTTGCTTCAATATGCCGTTCTTCATCCTCGTCGTGATTCCAGTGGGAGTCGCATACTATCTAGTTCAGGTGGATAAGACCCCAAAGTTCCATGTCACCTGAGAGACTGCCTCTAATTCGGCGATATAAGTGAGGACAACTCTGGCCTAATATATGTGACTCGCTTGACTGCAGCTTCTGTATATAAGTTCATCACGGCAGCTCAGGCGCTTGGAATCCACTTCGAGATCACCGATATTCTCGCATTTCGGTGAAACACTCCAAGGGTCCTCGATCATCCGGGCCTACGGTAGAACCGAGGACTTCATACGCGAGTCGAATGAGCGAATAGACTTGAATGCCTCGTCTTACTTCCCTCAAATCGCCGCGAACAGGTTGGTTGAAGAACACTCGTTGAAAAGGAAGCGAAGAAGCTCATTCTAGTGCAGGATTTTCGTGGATCACGGGCATCCTCCGATTGGACGCGTTGCAGGTGGCTTAGTATTCGATTGGATCTCTGCGCTGCCTCCGTGAGTTTCGCGACTGCCGTGTTCGTTGTTCTGTCTCGTGGGGCCATCGACAACGGCATCGCAGGCCTCTGTCTCGCGTACGCAATCCAGGCAACTTCGAGCTTGAATGCATTCATGAGGTCCAGCGCCGATGTCGAAGTCAACATCGTCTCTGTGGAGAGACTGACAGAGTACATATCTCTGAAGAGTGAGGTTCGTCGGGATTACCTCGTTATCAGTATCGCGGAAAACCGGACTTGAGCAACGATGGAACGGAGTGAGGGAATTTCCGCATTTCAGGCCAAATGGACAAGGAATCCCCCGCGGCATGGTTGGCCATCGAGGGGAGCAGTCGAGTTCGAAAATTACTCTACTAGATACCGGGAGGATCTCCCTTGCGTCGGTGAGTTTGCAGCTCATTCAAACTAGAGATTCGAGTCGTCCTCGCCGAAAGGGTGATGATGGAAACAATGCCAAAGCATCATACCTACTTCTCCTTGTCGGAGGATTTCGAGGAGAGAATGAGCGATGCAAAACAGTACCTCCATTTCACTGTACAGTTCGCGACATCAGTTTGAAAATCAACGCTGGTGAAAAAGTCGGGATCTGCGGACGGACCGGCGCCGGGAAGAGCTCGTTGACGCTGGCGCTCTTCCGGATAATCGAGGCTTGTCAAGGGAGAATAATCATCGATGACATTGCGATCGCAGACATTGGCGTTCATGATCTCCGCAAAAAGGTGCGCGCGAACGACATGTGATTCTCCTAAGACGCATGATTCAGAGAGGACCCTTTTCATGAGGATGTGGGGTGCGATCCTCCCGATTATTTGTGTTTGCAGCTCTCCATTATTCCACAAGATCCGATCTTATTCTCCGGAACCCTGCGCTTGAATCTCGACCCCTTCGGAGGGCATAAAGATGAAGAACTTTGGCACGCCATCGAGCACGCTCACCTCAAAAGATTCGTCGCTAAACAAGACAAAGGTTTGCGATCATTTCGATACACACATCAGGTTGCAGGTCATCAAGAGCTTCTCCACGAGAAACTTGGAGTTCTTATCGGGGGAAAAAAGTTCACTTCTTCGTCAATACGCGATATCATCATAATGAATATGAATTCGGACACAGGTCTCGATTTCGAAATATCCGAAGGCGGTGAGAATCTCTCGGTCGGACAACGTCAGCTCTTGTGCTTAGCGAGGGCCTTGCTGAGGAATAGCAAGATATTGGTGTTGGACGAGGCAACGGCTGCTGTTGACGTTCTGACCGACTCTCTGATCCAAGAGACGATTCAGACCGAGTTCGCCAGCTGCACCATAATCACAATCGCTCACAGAATCAACACGATCATCAACTACGACAAGTGGGTGCCGAAATTACTCGCATCGATCAGTATTGAACTTTACTGAACTTTTCCACGATTCTCATTATTGAGAGGCTTCCGGAAGACCCGACATGATCGCGAAGGAGAGCTTGCATCCATTTTCCCTTCTTTCAGGATACTCGTATTGGACGCCGGTGAAGTCCGTGAGTTCGATTCCCCACAAAACCTGCTCGCTGATACATCCTCACTGTTCTCGGCGATCGTCAACGAATCCAAGAGCAAATAGAGCCACAAACAAGCATAAATCTGCGGGCAAGGGCGGGAAAAAGTTTTTGGCGACCAAGATTCTTCACGGATTCGCGATCGGCTTCCCATTTGGCTCATTATTCCCATGGTACCGATGGCAGGCACAGTGAGGCAATATTGCGGTGCGTTCCTGGCGCACTCCAGATAGCGTTATGGAGAAATGTTGCTGCGGAATGCTCGCTTCCAAAGTGAAGGTGTCTACACAACCTGCGAACATGCGGCTTTCGGGCGGTGGGGGGAGGGGGGAATGGAACGACTGCTCCACATCCACATAGAATCGTTCCTGCCCCTGAACGATAGGAGCGGATCTTGTTGGGGCTCAAGATCCAAGTCAATTGAGCCGACTGGAGACCCGTGTGAGCCATGACTCATCTGTACATGGATATATCCGGAAGGATCCCATGGATCACCAATCAAGAGAGAATTCGCGCGGTTTCGGCGATGTTCCCGACGGCCTCGCCCTGCAGGCCGGTCTGGGGGTATATGTGGGGCGGACAACGAGTTCTGAAGAGCTGAGCGATACGGTCGGATAGCGTTGTCAGAATTCAAGGGATTCCTACGCAAATGCTCATCGTGCTAAGAAGACCTCGGGAAGTCAACCCCAACTCTCCATGTACTGGTTCGATCAGAGAAGGGGGATCTCTCTAGCCTTGGGGACAACATAAGATGCGTCCTCAATCCGCTGCTGCGAGCAGTCGAACGTAACGAATGAATCCTCATACTCTTTCCGTTTGAAATGCTCAAAATCCACTACAAGATCCTGAAAACCGACGACTCCTCGAGCAGGGCAAATGTGTATATATACGGAGTCTCCCGGCGCTCATTCTCATATAGCAGACGCTTCCGAACCGCGCTACAGCGCCAGCTGCTGGATAGACACAATCACCTACGTTTTCCTTCCACAAACCTAGGTTTAAAATTGAGGAATGTTCTGATGCGAGTCGCGTACCCTCACGCTCTCGACTCTTGTTCTTTAAGCCGCAAATACTATGTCACATATATATTCAACGAATAAATGAATAGAATAAGTCCCTGCTCTAGGAGAATGGATAACACGTTTTCTCTCTGTAAGTCTGGACCCTGCGACTCTTGGTGGCGAGCCGACTGCCCTAGCTATGCTTGAACTCTAGGGAAATCATGATAAATGACGCTGAAACGCCTTCTCTTCGCATCCGATCGCGAAATGACGCAGGGATGCATCCTAATCTAGCAAATGCGGACGATTCGGCAATAAATTACGGTGCTCCCAGGAAGATCAACCGTATAGCCGCCGACGGCTCGCTCGATTCCAGATGTGCTCTGCTGTGACGTTCCCTACGATCGGCTATTCTATGGCTGAGGGTCGGGACCCGCTCCTCAATCCTACCGTAGACCTGTTGAGGAAAAACTGCCTCGGGAGGATGAAGAATCTCGGAAGAAAGCCGCGGTAAGCTCAGGTTGCACACCGCAGAGCATCGTCCTAGAGGAACCTCTAGAAGGATTCTGAACCTCGCTCGGACATCCTTTTGACAGATCGCCTCCAGAAACATGGAGCATGGATTCAGATAACGTGTTCTCCTCAGGGCAAAGCGCACAGGCGCGATCCATTGAGTCGTTGGACGCTTCTTGAACGAACGACAAACGTGGACAAGCCATCATACTATCCGGCAGAGAGTCGAGTGGTGACGGTCGCGGTCGGTCAGGGGTTTCTTGAACGAACTTTCGCGACAATATTGAATTGATCCCCCCAAGGCAGGTGATGACAAGGATTCGGTGACACCGGCTCGAATTCGGTCGAGTTTTGAGGTAAGCGCCATCGAAGCCCAATCAAGCGCCTACCATCGACAGCGGTATCGTTGTTTACGAAGCAAGACCACCGGAAGTCGTTCGGAGGCCCGTGACCGGAGGCAATGTCGGTCACACGGATTTTCCAAATCTTCACAGGGGTTCTCCGAGTTGGGAAACGCGCGAAATGGCTCGGACCGCCTTAACATGCCTATGTTCCTCAGGAAACGACTTCCCCCTGATACAACCGCTGAAGACTACTTGTCAAAGGTAGCTGCTAGAAGTCCATCCGATGGGAATACTAGTCACGGAGATCACTTGGAACTGTGCTTGTCTGCTGCTGACGAACGAGTACCTCTCCGAGAAGCAGTCATGTTTTCTGGGATCCCTGACACGGAGCAGGATGTATCACTGGAGATGCTTTTCACGCTGACGGACTTATTTGATGGCACCGGGACCAGAAAGTTCCCCGTCGACCGTCTCTCCTCTACGCATCCCGTCAGTACATTCCCTCCCGCTACCGCAGCTACGTTTCCTTTCCCTCCCGCAAGTACGACTCCCACTCGACCCGGAAACACGTCCCGCGACCACTTACTCTGTTCAATACGCGGCTCCGACCCCCTCTCCGCCTATTGCCGCTCGGCCGTCCGCTCTGCTTGATCCTCAGAGGGACGATACTTCATCACAGGCCGTGACCGAACCTGAAAATGAGACGTCCTCGTCAACAGAATATCACAGCTGTCCGCATTTTCCCGACAAGTATTTTCGCCGGAAGGGCAATCTTTGTGAACATATGCTCATTCACTCCGGTGAACGCTCGAGACGTGAATAGTCGCGTCATGCCGTCAGTTTCAATGGGCTTCAGATTCGGGCTCCCGCTACGGAGCTTGGTACAATCCAATGAAGGACTAAGCCTCAGATACCTGCATTTCTTTCCCGAGAGGGCATGGTCGTTCTTCATGCCATGCCGTCCCGGGGCGAATCCGTCCGCAGGAACAGGAGGCGAAGCGCGGGCTTGCTCGGACTTGAATCACAGGATTGATTTAGAGTAGTTCAAGACCAGAGCTGTGCGTCGCGCCGAGCATTGCAAGTCCCATAGAATCAATGCTTAAGCGCCGCGCGCCTCGTTCTGGGTACGGCGTACAGCTCTGTTCAAGACCGACGAGGCGGGCGACTACCTTACACAACATGATGTGGTAATCATCGAGTGAGCTCGCCTGATAGATGCGATGGATCGAGTTCTCGAAGCGGTTGACTCGTGATCATCCCGTCCTGCGATATCTTGGCGACAAAACGACGGGAGGATACAAGCTCGCTCTCCGCGGTATTCAATTCTGCCTCAAAACAGAGTAATACATAATAGCCGCTCGTAGGAGAGAGAAAGAATCGGATGACTAAGCCCGGACCGCGCAAGTCTCCTTAAGATTCACTTCGATCAGGCTCCCCTCGAGTGGCGTCAAGATCTCTTTCTGGCCCATAGAGTTCCATCCCCCCCAAAAAAAATCCTGGGCACGCGCCTGCTCTCCTCGATACCAAAAGTTGGAGGATCGCTTATCGGTCGTCGAGGAGTCTCTCACCGTGTTTGACCATCTTTAGAATTCGGAAGTTGAAACTAGAGACCATCCAAGGATATTTCTAGTTGGCTCGAGACAGTCAAAGCAATCTTCTTGGAGAATAAGACGCGCTCGTTGAAAATAGCCGTCAATCGGATAGAAAATCTCTAAAGATCATAAAGAAGTGGACTCGGCGGTGTCAGAAGAGAAAGCCAACCTTCAAGACAAGTGTCTCGTGAGCTCGACGTCTCCAAATATCGTCCTCGGCTTGCTGAGGCGCACGACATCGCGGTCCGGATCCGTTGATTGGTCGTTCGGGATAAGGTGGGGCACAACGTTTCCGCATCTCATAATGTCCATCCAAATCTGAATCTCACGAGCTACTCGAGATCGGAATCCTCGCAATCTGATCGCTTCACATGGTCTGTCCCGGCGGGCCTCGCCGTATCGGGAACGCTAGACGGGAGAGATTCTTCTTAAAGCCGAGGGCGCAGAATCGTTCAGCGGACTACAATGGGGCCGGCTGATGACATTCGAGCCTAGCCGTGGAAAGACTTCTCTCAAAAAAGAGAGGGTCGAACGGAAGCCATGCCGGACAGACTGGTGAGTGAAGAAGAGACCCCGCATCGGACTCGAGAATGTTTCCAGCGTGTTCTATGCGTGTGTTCTGACTTGTGACAGCGGACACGATGTGTGACTTACAGACACAATGTCTCCGAGTGAGTTCGAGGCATCATTCGATGCAATATCGCAAAGCATCAGAATATCTATCATCATGGATCCAAGCGTGGCTTCAGGAGTCACTCAGAGATGACCGATACATTGGAGAATTTTATATATGGCGTTTCACTCGTTCAGAAGATAACAGTGGGCCTCTAAGAACTTCTACCTATCGTCCTCGTGGTCTTGAAGTTCTCGGACCGTTGCTCGTGCCCTAAGCATGGACATTCTTCTACATGGTATCGAGTTCTCACAGCTGATCCAGATCTTGATCTATTGATTTTGGAACGATTCTCTCCTTCTATCTTCCTGTTGATTCCTTCGAGTCTCCTCTCTATCACCTCCAATGACTCCGTGCACTTACAATGGGCTTTGACGTTCTCGTGAGTGATGGAACTTACTTCGATCCAGAGGCAGGCCTCCTCAGCTGTCTGAGATTCAAAAGCAGCAGTGCCCGTGGGTCTCTCGTTTGCAGCGCTCGCAGCGTGTTCTGTAGCTCAAGCTTCGGAATGAGCCATTGCAAGCTGCGCAGTTTGGTCCTAGATTTGCCTCGATGTCTCCTGCCAGCAGCAGGATTAAGGCCAGAGCAGAGGCTCGAAGAGTTCGCGTTCGTCCGACATAGGGCTTCTGTCCCGTATTCTGTATGTGCACATAGATGCCACGGGGTAGAGCGGGGTCACTGCTCTGCGTCGCGGTTGAAATCTCCTTGGCGTTCCTCAAAATCACGCTCATGATGAGTCACGCGGGATTCGACGCGGTGGAGTTTTCAATAACATAGTCTTTCTTCTTTTCCGCGTCATGCGGTAACTCAGGCGGGCATCGTTTTGCTTCGATGCTACGCGAAGGAGACTCATCGGGACTGCGGAGAGACCTCGCCACATTGCGATTCAAGCAACCGAGTCTCGATCCTGGCCGTTCGAGATTTTGAAAATCTATGAGATTC